CCCAAGAGAGCAATTTGGCATCAACTTCCTCTTTTGCGTTCTCTTTCACGTGAGTTTTAAACTATTCTATTTCAAACAATTATCGAGCTATACATGTGATTAATCTTGTTAAACAGTTACAGATGTGAAATTGTATTCCAAGATCAAAATGGGAACTTGAATTTCGACTTTGAATTCAAAGTCCTCTCCCATTCAAAAAAAAAGAAAGAGTGCATTGAAGCCAAATTATACGACGAATTGATGTTGTTCCAATACTTTCTTTTAGGCAAACATGAGACCACTATCTCTGAAGGGTCACGATCGTGCACTAACCCGCGTACGCTTCAATCGAGAAGGAGATTTGCTGATTTCCGCAGCGAAGAACAAGCAGCCATGTTTATGGTATACCGAAAATGGCGAACGAATAGGTGTGAACTTAGTCCTATCAAACTGACATTAGACACAAAACTCTTCATAATCTGTTTTAAGGGACGTATGATGGTCACAATGGTGTAGTCTGGGATGTAGATGTGTCATGGGACACAACAAGACTAGGAACCGCTTCAGGAGATAATTCTATAAAGGTACCCTACAAGTGTAACATCTTTAGTGAAAACCATGATTCCTTATTCCAGTTCTGGGACTGCGAAACTGGCGTTGTATTGCACACAATTAACACTCCCACTCCAGCAAAATCAGTAAACATTTCATTCTCAGGTTAGATATCTGCACTGCTTGCTCCAAGAGCTGTTTTCTCAGAATACTCTTATTCTTGTATCTTTTTCAGGTCATCTCCTCGCTTATACCACACAAAAGATGACGAAAAACCCATCTGTGCTCTGCGTTGTGGACACTAGGGATGATCAACAGATGACGGCTGATGATCCGCTGTTTCGGACTCACTTCGAATTTGACAATTCCGCAACTACTTGCGTTTTTAGTGGTGCTACGGATATTGTAAGTTCTTGAATAATTTCTTTATATAATGGCATAGTGCAGCGCACTCGAGGGTATCGTCGTGCTAGTATTCTACAGGTTACTTTCGCAACGTCAGGATCCTACGGTTTAGGGTAGGATATGCATATAAATAAGTAAATAAATCTGGCTCTTACGCTGCTACTGGGATTCCCTTAACTGTTTGACTCGAAACCATACCTGTTTCAGAATGCAATTATTACTGTTCATTCAGGTTACTGTCGGGTTCGAAAATGGTCATATTCAGCAGTATGACTTGAAGGGTAACGAAGAGCCCGTTAATACCAACGATAAAGTCCATAGGGTAATTGTTCGGTAATGCTAATCATCTTTCACTAAACAC